GCATTTATGTTACCCTATAAGGAAGGTACATGAGAAACTATACATGGGATCCTCAACAAGGCTGGAGTTCGGGTGGAATTCAAACCTACAAACTCACTCAGAAATAAGCTTTATCGGCTGGTTTAAGGATCTGATAGAACGAATTCAACAAAGTAATGTAATCTATGAAATTCCATATAATGACTGTGACTGAAGTCAAGTACATAGGTGAAACTAGGCGGTAATCTAGAACAAACACTCGTCTATTGTAACGTATGGATTAACACACAATCACACAATAGGTTGGGTGGATGAAACCACTATACTGAGGTTATATATTACTAGGTTGATAGAAGGGGACTGATTACTGAATCTTTGTTCATCGAATCAACAGTCAACACCTAAGACATGTGGAATAGGAATGATACAATACTCATATGAGAGATATGGAAAATTGTACTGGCAGTAAAAGCAAAGAATGATGGAGTTGATAGAACTATAAGAATCACATATGGAAAGTGTTGTGTGATGATTACACATTGATATGTGATAATGATTTATGCTGTAAACGTGGTCATCCAGTGAATAATTCTGTGTCACAATATGTGTACTGACTATATCAAATAAATAAATCTAATATTGATAATTAACTCCGACCACAGTGCCCATGTTTTACACTTGTAGTTTTGAACACTTTTGAATGAACAATCACTTTTGGTTGAATGTTTATCTATTGTCATATTGTCTTGCTTAAAGTAGATGATGCCTTCGTCAGTATATACCACTATCGTTTTTCATCAGTCTTCAAAGATGAAATCAGATGTTTGTAGACTACACAGTTCATGGTGATGTCGTCTACTCGACACCGAAATTGGCGTCAAAGTTGTGAACATGAAAGTTGTACTGTATAACCAGTCCATATAAGATGCTAACTACAATTTGGGTGGTTCGAACAACAACACTACCAGAAACAAATGAAATAGCAGTTCTGTGTTTCAATCACAATCATCTAACTCACCAGTATGGTGGTCTATTTAAATCTCGGGTTACCAAAAAACTTCCCACCGATTATATTCTATCAAATCCTTCCCCCTTCAGTTTGTTTTAATCTTTCATATGTCTTCGGAATGCATCATCTACTCTCACAAGTTGTTTAAACTTTGGTTTGTGAGGCTAAGAACAAAAGGAAAAGGGGAAAAACGTTCCACCAGTTGGAAACGGATTTGTAAATACTCAACTACACACCACATTCCTATTTCTTAGGATACCTACCTGTATGGGATTGTGGATTTCTGTGCTGGCTGACTGACTGACTGACTGACTAAGTGACTGCCTGACTGACTGACTGACTGACTGACTGACTGACTGACTGACTGACTGACTGACTGACTGACTGACTGACTGACTGACTGACTGAACTGTCACCATCGCAATTACACTCGATTTTGTGTTAATTTCTGAGTTGAAAACAGATGCTCATGTAATATTGGCTGCCTATTTCACATTCATGCCTTCAATGTTGTTATTATTAACACTATGAAGACGTAATAAACATTGTAGGGAAAGCTTATTTGTTGGGATGTTCCATGCTGAAAATTTCACAGTGTGTCATACATGTTTGGAATAAGGCGATTATCGTTATCGCTATGATTTATCTAGAACTACTCACTCCAATAAGTAGTATATTTTGTGGTGATTACAGTCTCATGGAATCTTCGTTATCTCTTAGAGATTACACCTTGATTAGTAATATTTCTTGTGATATATATACTGACTGAAGCAGGAATTAGTGGCAGAGGTAATATGACTTTCCTCGAGGCTGTAGATATATAGTGTATGTGTCTGTAGCAACATTGAAGATGATGACGATGAACTGGTAAGAAATCAGGCAAAAAGAATCTACAAAATGGCAACAACAGCAACAACAAGCCCCAATCACCATCATTGGGAGAAACTTAAAGGAAGTAGCCTCCTTCACCTATCTAGGCAGCACTGTCTCAACTACAGGTGGCGACATGGACGAGGACGTCAAAGCTAGGCAGGATCGGAAAGACAGCAAGACAGGCTTTCATTAACCTGAAACCAGTGTCGAGATCCTCTGCACTCCACTCAGCATAAAGCGTGACCAACATCCGGATTTTCAACACCAATGTGAAGTCAGTGCTTGTATGTGATGGTTGAGAGAGTTGGCGCGTCACGAAAGGCATTTCCAACAAACTACAGATATTCATCACATCAACAACTGCCTACACTGTCTTGATAGTGAAGTTTAGATATCCAGAATATTAAGAGTAAGCAAGAAGGAACTCGCTGTGGGAACGAACCAACCAACAACCTGTCACTCAACAAATATGCAGTGGAAGGAAGTGTAGATGGATTGGTCATACACTGAGAAGGCCGACTGGGGATATCACGCGTCAGGCCAGGCACTCGAGTGTAAGCTAAATGGGAAGCGACGACTTGGGTGTCTGAGGTGAGGGTGACATGTAGGAGATCGTGTGAGGAAGAAATGAAAGCTTGTGAGCTGTCATGGAACTAGGTCCAGAAGTTTGCAGAGAACAGGATTACACTGAAGTCACTGTAAGTAATGTATTTCCAGACGCATTGTGACACAGTATTGTATCATTTAGATTAATAGTCACAATGAGCAGTGTGTTGATAGGCTACAGTTATTGCCTAGGCTCGGTAAACGTAACGATTACCATGGAGTGAGAAGTTGATCGTAAGTAATAAAATATAATGGGTCCGAATAACGCTGAATGTGTTCGAGCAATGAGTTGAAAGTTATATGAGTTATGTGACGATTTGTGCTCACTTCATTTTAACAGATAAAGCAAAGTTGGACACATGAGTTCCTAGTGGAACGAACATAGGGCTTCAGTAGCACGTCGCCATTTCACTCTCTTCCCTGAAGTCTTTTCAATCTGTCTCCATCACTGCCCAGAAGCTTTCATTACCCCCATGTCATTGTTGGATACCCAATTCGTCCTTTCCCCTGTGAGTTCCATTCGACGGCCTCGCCTGGCTTGGCATATGATGTCCCCAGTCGGCCTTCTCAGTGTATGCCCAATCCAATCCATCTCCATCTTCTTCAACTTCATATTTGTTAGGCTATGGGTTCTTGATCGGTTCGTTGCCAGCCAGCCAGGCAGCCAGAGTTCCTTCTTGCTTATTCTCACTATTCTGGCCATCTGATCTTCAATGTCAGTATCCAGCCAGCGTAGGCAGCAGCTGTTGATGAATGTCTGTGGTTTGTTCGAAGTGCTTTCCGTGACGCGTCAAGTTTCTGAACCGTCATACAGAAGCACTGACTTGACTAACATTGGCGTTGAAAATCTGGATGTTGTTCACGCTCAATGCTGAGTGGAGTAGATCTCCACACTGATCATTTCAGATTATTGAAGGCCCATCTTGCTGTCTTTCCAATCGTGGCTTTGACATCCTCATCTGTGCCTGCACCACCTGTAGTTGAAACGATGCTGCCTAGATGAAAGGTGAACTAGACAACTTCCTCTCGACTTCTCCTGTTCATGGTGATCGGTGCTTGTTGTTTTCGTTTGGGTAACTTCATCACCTCTGTCTTCTCTACACTCACCTGAAGGAAGTCCTGTCTTCCTTCTCTGCATCGCCTCTTCTGCCAACTTGTTGCATTTCCCCACTAGATCTTCGACCTTGTTCGACATTAGACATAAATCATTATGGGCGAAATGTAAATCTTCCTGTGGGGTCTTTTCATCGGTTCAGTCAGTGAATGACCATCTTGTCACTCCTCATGGAATTTTGTTTGATCCTGTCAAATCGACGACAATCAGGAAGATGATTGATGATGGCAGGCAACATTGTGTCACTCCTGTCTTTACTTCAAATGCATCACTGAGGTTTCCATCATGAATCAAATAGCTGTTGAACGAGGTTGATAAAGATTTGTGCCAGTAGAACGTTAATGTTGAAGCAGCTGCCAAATTGTGCGAGCAAATGGTTGGAGTCATTTAGTCAAATGTTTCATAACATCTCCACATCACCAACAACAAAAATTTTATTTTTATCTTTCAGTTAGTTTATGAATGTCGATGCATATTTCTAGTTGAAATGGCATTCATGTATTAAGTTTTTTCCAAGCTGGATACTTCGGTTCATCATCATCCAAATCAACATAGTACCAGCCATTACTGCGTAATGATCGGAGTTGCCACACCTCATATCAGTACATCAAGTAAAAAGGTAGTGAGGTGAAGGATGAAGATAAGTGAATGCAGTCAAAAGAAATATAAAGTACGAGAAGAAAGGAAAGAGGAGTGACAAAATGGTGAGATTCGGTATAGCGTTGTTAAGATGAGGATAATGTGTGTATACATCTGCGCCACTCACATCGGTTCTCAGCCATATCACCTAGGGTCTCCAACCACTGGTTGTTTTTGTCCCGCGGACCCCAACCGACTAGTCTATGCCGCCCCATATAGCTTAAACCAACAGTCAGAGACTTCATACATTGATGCCATGTTTTAGTCTGGTCACCTCGATCTTTTACCCAGCCTGAACCTACTTCGGTCAACATTGTCATGTTTTGATTATATTCTCCCTAATCTTCATTCATTTATTCCTATTATCCATCTCCTTGAATATCATTCATCTTGTATGTTTTACATCTTTTGTATACTATAGTGAAGTATGGCAACACTTGAAATGAAGCATTACATTGTTAAGTCTTGTGTTAAGTTGTTTATCTCATTGTTGACTCCCTAAGAATAAGAAGTACCCTTGATTAGCATCAAACAACTATGTGTCATGAATTTCTTTGTTTGGATAAAAATAATCAAATTAGTTAAAATCACAAGATGAATTTATGTAAACTTATGTATTCATAGGCAAACCAGAATATCATACATATATGTATATAGATTATATTTCTTTCGGGTGTTGATCAATTTCAGTTTATTCTTTAGTCAAGAAAAGTGCTAAACATGTTGTAGGTGTATGTGTGTGTGTGTGTGTGTGTAGGGGGGAGGAGTGAGTGCATCTTCTCAAGTTGGATTAGTTTTAAGATCATCCACTTGAATGATAACATCCTTTATCGCATTATTATCATCGCTAATTTGAGTAGATTTCCTGCCATAATAAGAAGTACTTCCATTTAATGTAGGTGAAAGTTTTGATTTTTCCCATTTCAGTGTACTATAAACATGATCTCTGGATCCATTTTGGTAATTATTATTATGATTATTATTACTATTCATAAAATCATCCATATGTAATGAATAATGATGTGGTAATGTGAAATACTGATGTGACATTGAATCATTTTCAATTCTATATTCTCTACACCATTTTTCTCCTTGATTGATCATTGAATTCAATGGGAATTCTTCAACAGAAGTATTATTGTTATTTATTTGCATAGAATTGAATATTGACGGTTTTTTCAATCTAGTCATTTCATGATTACTGCTATTATTATTAGTAGTATTGGTAATGATAGTATCATTACCAAGGTATAGGACAGGTTCATATTTCAGTGTATTGTGCATAATCTTTGTTAAACAACAAGGAATTATAGAGGAAAATTTTTCTTCTTTTATTTCAGGATGAAAAGTGATTTGTTTCGAATGACAACTATCATGGAGGCATATATTTTTATTGTTTTCGTTGTTGTAATGGATGACATTAGTATTGTCAACAATTAGCATTTTTGAATATGGACATGTTAGACAATGAGATCCCGGTGGAATATTGATATCACTAGAATGGTGTTGACAGTTATCTGTGTTGTAGAAAACAAGAATAAAGACTATTGGAAAGGAAATCAACTTTCGAAAGGTAAGAGAAAGGTGTAGAGCATGTATCTTTACTTCATTCTCTTAGAACCTACTGGATGTAACCGAAAGGGTAGTTAGTTAGTGGTAGTCATGCATAAAATGACATTTCGAAACATGAAGATAATACTAACTATTATCTCCTTTCCTACTTGTTCTCTTGTACCCTATGAAATAGTCCATTCAAAATTTTTTATCTTCAGTTTTTATACTACTTGGTATTTTTAAGTAGTATCCAATAAACTACGGACATTCATCAACAACTGCCGCCTACGCTCTGATGATACTGAAGATCACGTGGCCAGAACAACAAGAATAAGCAACAAGGAACTCTGGCCGGGCAATGAACTAACAAAGAACTTATCGCCCAACGGATATGCGGGAATAGAAAGTGGAGATGGATTGGGCATACAGTGAGAAGGCCAATTGAGGACATTACGCATCACGCCAGACCGTCGAGAGGAATCCAAATGGGGAACGTTGAGTTGGGCGTGCCAGCTGAGGGTGACATCCAGGAGATAATATGAGGAAGAGATGAAAGCTTGTGAGCAGTGGTGGAGTCAGGTTGAAAACACTGCATAGAAGGGAGTGAAATGGCGAAGTGCTACTGAATCCCTATGTTCCACTAGGAACCCAATGGACAAATAATAATAATGTTGGTACACATATATAGGGAGGAGTACTCCTGCTATACAGACTACGGTGGGTGAACAGACAAACTTTGATACACGTAGGGGATAGACATCCATCTTTATCTATAGTAAAACATAACATCGTAATGAATCATAAGGGTGACTATGAAAACAACATTCAAGATATTATATACGAAGAGTCAGGGATGCGTTAGAGATTTGTAAACTTCAGGCCCCGTTGTGTGTACAATAACAATTTGTTGTTTCACTCAATTTACCTTGGTTACCCTTATCATCTGATTATATTACCAAGATGAGTGTCATAACCTCTTCATATCCATTAGACTTTACCTTTCATTTTCATATATAAATTGATTTGAGAAGTGAATACATGTTTGTGATCAGATTGCTCAAAATGTATCACAGATTCATATAAGTCAGGGCCTAGGAATATATTCTAAAGTGGCTTCAGAAGCAAACTGAATTACCTGAACCCTATAAACGTTGGTATCAGACGTTCAAGTTCTTCCATCGCTAAACATACCGCTCAGACAAGTCATAAGATTCACATAGATACTTCCTTTCGACCCATTTACAAAGTATAGTGACGACGGATCCTTAAATTTGTTGAGGTCTTAGCTATTAGGATGTTTAAACCACCTTTGTATATGTGTGTGTCTGTGTGTGTGTTCAAAAAGCAATTTGTGCTCCACATTAAACCTCCCGTGGTGAATTTAACACTGAAATCAAGTTCGATGTACTATTAATTTCGCTTTATTAATTTTCAGTGTTCATTGGTTTTTTAATTCAGTCATTCTATTTCTCCTCTCTTCATATTCTCACCCCTTGTCTTCATAAATTCGCATATGAATATCTATGAAAAGTATGTGTGTGCGTGTGTGTGTGCGTGACTGATCAGATAGTTCGAAATGTGTTGCGCAAACTCATACTACACACGATTCAGACAATTTACGTCTTCTTATTGTTGTTTGGTTGAAGTTGCTAAAGGTAACTATAAATGGGCAAAGCCTAATGGTCGTGAGGACAGTTACTCAACGATGACATTGGGTGGCGGTTGCACTATATCTTGAGCTAACAGAAGTTGGAAATATGGACCGTTGGATTCTGACCCAGTGGCTCAGTGGTAACATGCTGGATACAGAACCTGAAGGTGGAGGGTTTGATCCCTATCAAGGTGGGTGCGTGGGTGCGCACCGCTGAGGACGAAATAGCTACCCAGTGCTCCCAGGTTTCCTTTGTTCCTCCAACTGATGTCAGTCCAAGATGAATAACAACTTGAAATGTTCGAAATGTATTGCACAGATACACCACTCACACATTTTGTAGATAATCTTAGTTTTCTTATTACGCCATCGACATTTTTTTAAAGTGACCGATTGTGTTGTCTATTCAAGGGTTTCAAGAGTTATTCAAACTTGTACTCATGGATATCTTCAACAGGATTCTAAGTTGTCTTAATTCTTACTTTCCAAATAGATAGGCGGTATGATTAGGCAGTAGAATCAGGCACAGACAAGCATGAACTGAAATCTGTTGAAGAACTAGTGAACACCTATAAACACTGGACAGTGATTCTGTTCTAATCTGATGTTATAGCTTGAATTCAAGTCCTAGTGGAAGGAAGGGGTGGGCATATTCCGAATAAAAGGAAACACACGTATTGGATTCCCCTGAATGCCATTATTCATTCATAATATCAAAAACCAATTTTCTGTAGTTTTCAATAATAGTTTTTAATGAATGAACCATTCTGAAACTGTTATTCCTTTCTGGTAAGAGATAAACCTCATGTTTTCCAGTTTGTACAGTTTTTAATAGAGAAGAGATAATTAAGCGAAGAAAATTTTCTTTTTTCTTCGACGATATCATTTTCTAAAGCTGTACAATCTTATTCACGTATATATCATAAACATATAACAGTCTATTACAAAACAATAGGGTATAATTACATCATTAACCGAGTGATAAGGAAAAAACCGGAATCAAGAATGCTATGGGGTCACCACTTGAACCGTTGCTGGCTGATTGCTTTATGACGAAGCTAGAGAATAGTGTGCTACATTCAACAATTGATAGTTTCTGCCTATATGAAAGATATGTGGATGACGCATTCATCATAATCGACCAAAATACAGATATTGAGACTGTAGTTGAAACGTTCAATGATTGTCACCTATCGATCAGCTTCACATCAGAATTTGAAGAGAACTCGGAATTCCATTTTCTCGATGTTTTATTGAAACGGAGACCAGATGGTTCTCTTCAGAGATCAATTTATAGGAAGCCTACTTGGAACGGACAATATCCGAATTTCTATAGTTAGATGCCTCTCAGCAGAAAGAGGAATCTAATCCATTCTTTATCTCCAAGAATCAAAAGTATCTGCACCAGTGATACTATTGACGAAGAATTAGATAAACTAAGGAAGATCCTCAAGCAAAATTGGATATCCATCCAGATTCATCGATAAGAACTTAAAAGTAAATCAGAATACGGAGCGAGTACTTACAGTTCCTAAGAAGACCTTGTTTATGCACGTTGTTTTTAAAGGCGATACGACAGCAGAGATCCTGAAGAATCGGCTGTCCAGGTGACTGAAGAAGACATTCTTCTCTGCAAAACTGCAGATCAGCCTCTCTAGTCAACAACTCATTCCGGAGTCCGATAAGGACAAGTTACCACTTTGGGCCACCTCAATGTGTGTCTACAAATTTACTTGCTCCTGTGGAGCTTGTTATATAGGCCTCACAAAGCGAACGTTTTCCAAACATATCTCGGAGCACTATCCTACATGGTTGTCGAGGGAGAATGTAAATCAATTAACAGTTCAATTCTTCAACATTTGGTCAACTCTGAACATAAAGTTAGACGAGAATCTTCCTTCAATGGCATTTATCGTGTCAGATGGAACAGTTCAAAAGGAGTACACCTTCGACAGTTGTGCACAGCGGAGGCATTGGCAATTCATCAATTCAAGCCCGATCTCTGTGTGCAAAAAAGAAGTATGTTCAATCTCTCATCTTTCCATGGTCTTAACACTTTCACAATACTTCAATTTCATGATCATTAATTAGTTTATTATTATTACCTTCATTATGATCCTTGTCTCATTCTTCACCTTCTTTATATCTATCTGTCTATCAAGTGGACACTCAATATCTGCGTTTCTTATCTACCAACAGTTTTCACCTTGTCAAACTCCTTGCCTTCCTCGATATTTCTACTGCCATAGATTATTACGCAACTACTTTGCATTATTGATCCCGGTTGTTTTTAGCACTAGGTCAATGATGTAGCTATTATACCCTATTGTTTTATAATAGACTGTTATATGTTTATGATATATACATGAATGGGATTGTACAGCTTTAGAAAATGATATCGTTGAAAAGCCAGAATGTTTCTTCACTGAATTATCTATCTATCTCTTCTCTATCACTTTTTAATAATCCACAATTTTTGTGTCTCTTCTTCTATGCTTATGTTTACAGACTTAAGGTTTTCTATGATGTAAATGGCAGCTTAGTGATTGTGTCAGACATGATTTCGGTTGTAAATTGGTAATCTCTCAACTGAAAGTGATTATTTACTCATTTTTAAACACAGAGTCGATTTGATTCTCACTTACTTTGAAGTATACAGCAATGTATATCTTGTTCAGTTGATTGACCATGTTTTCCAATATGATCACTGGTTACATCATCATCGTGGAATTGATTACAATATTTCTGATGTAAAGGAATCATGTGATCAACCTGAAATATATAATCGATTTCTTTTAAAAGGATCCAAAAAGTATAGTTTAGTAAAAGAGACAAAGAGATCAAGATATTCAGCGAAGAGACTCTTATCAATGAATCCATCTTCAAGCTGTACATTCATATATATATATATATATATATATATATATATATATATATATATATCATTTTATAAATCATATCCCATGAGTAATACTCAACACCATGTCATGATAATAATAATAATAATAAAACGGATGATGATATAGACATTTTTGATCACGATAACAATTGAAGTATGAATGATAAGGGAGTAGATTATGTAGTGTGTAGAATGTACATGGTTCATAGAAGGTATATAACTGAGAAAGGGATGAACCAATTAACTATTATGTAATAAGATTAAACAAGTTAGTCAGTATGAAATGAATCTTTTCTAAAATAGCTGAGACAATATGAATGAAATAACACTAGATACCTGTCAACAGTAAGAAGAATCTTATTCACTCTCTCTGCTATTGAATAACAAATATCTGTAGTGAAGATTGTATTGATGAAGAGCTATCGTTTTTAAAAGGTGTACTTGTTGAAAACGGTTACCCCTACTGTTTTATTGATAAAAATATACAAGAAAGAAATACTAAACGGCTGATACATTCAGTCTCAAGGAAAAAATTATTCATGAGCTTAGAATTTAAAGTTGACCTAGTAACAGATATACTGAAGAATCTTCTATGCAGATCAATTAATAGAACTTTCTTCTCAGCAAGACTTCAGTTGACTTTTACCAGCTGTAACCTATTCTTCATTTGTGCTAAAGGTAAGCTTCTTCGTTTAGCCGCCTCTATATGCATCTACTAGTTTAACTGTTCTTGTAGAGCAAGGTATATGGGCCATAGCTTTCTACACGTATACGAGAACATGTTCCAGCTTGGTTTGATAAAGGTGAAAGAAAGTCTGTTAGATGTTCTATCTTAAAACATTTAGTTGATTTCCATCACTCAACAAACTCAGATAATGACTTTGAAATTATTTATCAGATTCACCTGAATCTCCCACGTTTCCTTCGTTTTCAACTCCTTAAAATAGCGGAGGCTTTAGTTATTCATCAACACAAGTATGTACTGTAGTCATTGTTTTTATCATGGCCATAACATTATCCCACCCTGACTGGTTTACCCAACCCCTTGATTAATTTAATCTTTGTATCCTATTATTATCATCTTTATAATAGCCTTTGATTTGATTACTTTTCGATGTTATTTCACTTCATTGTCCTAATCTTTTTAGAAAAGATTCATTTCATATTGACTAACTTGTTTAATCTTATTACATAATAGTTAATTGGTTCATCCCTTTCTCAGTTATATACCTTCTATGAACCATGTACATTCTACACACTACATAATCTACTTCCTTATCATTCATACTTCAATTGTTATCGCCATCAAAAATGTCTATATCATCATCCGTTTTATTATTATTATTATTATTATTATCATGATATAGTGTTGAGTATTACTCATGGGATATGATTTATCAAATGAATGTACAGGTTGGAGATAAATTCATTGAGAAGAGTCTCTTCGCTGAATATCTTCTTCTTGATATTACAGTGGCTAATTGACGAAGATGTTTATTCCCATACATATCACTTAGTGTACGTTAACAACTTTCATAGTTGTTAAATTATCTCCGTCAATCACATATGATATTGGCAATTTGTTCAAGACAGTAGATTATTTTGTGTAGGACAAAAAATTGTTGGGAAAAGAAACTAGTTCTTCTCCAGAATACAATCAGTTCACAGAGTTTCATCGCGTTATTTCTACCTCTGTAGATTCTAAATAATTTCAGAGTATATTAAACCAACAACAATAATCTGTGTCTCTAAACGGAGGATAGATGGTGGCTACCAGTGGAATCCAGCACGCTTGTCTCATGCTATCTGGGCCTCATTAGCTGAGCGTACCTGCACTCCGGTGAGTGATACTATCTCCATTAAGATCCAAATTCATGGCCAATCTTTTCAAATACCAGAGCGCTGTTCACTAGGTCACTGAGATATAATAGTCACCCCATGTCCAACGGGTATTAGGTTACCATAATAATACCTGGCACTGCTTCAGCAAATCTGAATGCATTGCAGGATATGAATATGGCGTCTTGTATCCTTCAGATGTATTTCAGAGGGATCTTGAAGGTTGTTTGACTGCCCAGCACTTAACTTACCTAGCATACTGCCTGATACTTATAATCTCCTGCTGCTATACTGGCTCACTTTGCTCGATCATCTGGTGGCAGACAATATCCTATGTGAATGCCTTGATTCTGCCCGATTACTTATAATGTTGTGTATCGATCTGTTGCACTACAGTGTACCTATTACCACAATAACCGTTTTCTGATGACCCAGTTAATATTGCTTTGACGTTTGAAGCGATAAGTTCTCGGCCGGAGTCTTAGTGGAACATCGTCACCTTACTAAGAGGCATGTACATCTAGATGATGATTCCTGAATAGGACAGAAAGTGTTTCCTAGATTCCCTCCAAGTAACCATCAAGCAGATTGCGACACAATGAGTTATCTGGCAGTATCAAGGTATCTGCATTGAAGACAATCTGTTACTTAGGCTCAAGCTATTCCACTCATTGTAGTAGTGGGAAATTAAAATTATCGAAACAACACTGAATACCTCTCACTTCCTTCTATCAAACTTCATAACCTGTAATATTTTCTGCAAATGGTTTTTCCCACCCCCCCCCCTTCGTCATTCAGAGACACAGATTACTCTTATCTGTTTATGTCTCCTGAAATCGGTTAGGTCGAAAATAGTTGCAAAGAATGCCATAAAACACTAGGGCACAGTTTCAGTTTGCAGAACTTGTTTTGTTCTCCGTGTACTAAAAATAATCTAAGCAATAAACAGCTTCTCAGACTTTGGATTCGGTCACATGGCTATGCATACTACGGAAAACTGCAAGACTTAGTGAATGATAAAAACTGATACCCGTTGAACAACAGGCATTATCATACCTTGCGGCCTAGCAATGTTTGAAGCGATGGATAGTCGGGTTAAGTCTCTCAGTGGCGGCAACGTCAATCATCGCGGTTCAATTACATTCAGCTGATGAGCCCTAAATAAGACGAAACATACGTCCTGCATTCCCCCGCTCACTGTCACCATCATCAAGCAAATTAAAATAAAGATGAATGATTAGACAGTATTCAGACATCGCCATAGGAACCCATAATTTAATGGAGGAAAGTCGGTTCCATACAGAGTAGTAACGGGAAATTACAAGTATCAGTATATAACAGAGTGATGTGTACTACTTGCATGAACGTGATCAAGTAGTATGTAGTGCAATATGATTATGAAAGGTAATTAAAGTTGAGTTTTTGAAGGAAGAAAAGAGAGATGATATTGGAAGGTAATACACAAGACGAGCTAATCAGTAGAAACCAAAGGACAACTCATCTGGAGTGTAGAATGTACATTATACTTCTAGTAATTTATCAATACTCAATGTAAATTTGTAATGAGGAATTCAATCAATCCGTTTTAACTTTATTTTCTATAATTTCATTTCAGACTGCAGACATGTATGTCTAATCTATGCAATTAATTCTGTTTACTACTTATATGATTCGATAAGTAGTATAACTAATAACACAAAATAAGTAGAGCTTACCGTCATAGGCTGATTCAATGGTTGATGTGATTCATTAGAATCATTTACTCCATCTGTCAGTAAATTTTGTATAAACTCCGAAAAATCTACTCCCATACAATACCCATTCAGGTTTGAGTCAACAAACTTTTGATTGTAGCCACTATATGATAGAGAAAGCAGAGAAGAAGAGTTTCACAAATATTGGGCGCCAACTGAAATTAGATGTAAGTTATATTTGAACAAATCTCAGTGTATTAGAATAAAGAAACTGTAACACTTCACACAAATTTCATAAAGTATCTCCATTTTTAAGTGACATACCCCTTTTGATTTGTCTTGCACATTTTTCGATTGGATTTTAATCGAAATCTTGTACAAAATTTATTGTACTGTCGAAAATGTCCATTTGTCCTTCGGATATACAGTAAGATGATGATAACTGCCAAAGGGAGAATTACTGCAAATAGTAGACATATTGAAAGTGTCTGAATAAACCCGTTTGAAGTGTATTTATCTGTTCGAAGAGGTATAATGGAGAGAAGAGAAAGAATATAAAGTGATATATGCATTCATGTGAACTGTTCACAAGTAATTGGAAATGGTAATTTACTTGGTTGTGGCTAGCAGAGGAATCTATGACGCACGTTTCGTCCTATTTGTGTCTGGTCAGTTGAGTGTGTGTTTTCACCCGAGTGGGGAGAGCTGTTTCTAATGAGACTTGAATCTCGTATGCATCGCTTCAAATGCCAAGGCGCTATCCAATAGACCACTGAGGCATGACAGCCATCTTTTGTACAACGGGTATTAGTTAGAACCATTTATTGATTCCAGATTCCAGTAAAGATATACGAAATAACACCTACATATAATTCTCATAAGTATGGGTGTCCTCTTTTCATGCATTTGCTAGCTAAATCACTCTCAAAGTTTAGACGAGCATGAAACAAATCATTACAAATCTCGGTCCATCAGAACCACAGACTCACAATTTTTATCATATAAAATACACTACTTAAATAATTGAAAGTAGCTAGATTTTACGTTCCTAAAATAAACAATTGGGATTTCGATTTTCGCTGAAACCATATTTTTAGTGGGTGATGAATGAAGGTGAAATGAAAATTTGGACAGCTGTGGGTTGAGCACCGGGCCTGTAACCTGGTGTTTGCTGGTTCGAATCCGCTTGCGGTTCAATTATCATTCAGTATAAACATATCTGACATATCCTTTTCAGCTTTCAAACCTAAAACAGTATTCTATTCTACATTTCATTGCGTAATTGACAGCTTCGTCAGCAGACTCGTCAAGTTTCAGCAGAATACAAGTTACGTGATCAAACAGTGCCATAAACGGATTTGTTTGTAGACAGGAATGCCAACAAAAAACCGGGACTCATGATGATGAATTATACATGTTTAAAAGAGGGCAGTGCAGTGTTTTTTCCATTGGCCTTTCAGTAAATCCACCTGTTTCACTGTTTGGCTGTACAGGAGCTTTGCCTTACCCAACAAAACCCTAACCAGAGATGTGTAGTCTTGACTTTTGAAGCGTTCTAGTATTCAACAATAATAACACCTTAGCGTTTAATTCAATGTTTACTGGGGTCGAGTCTGTCAGTGGGAGCAACATCATTCACTAGAGTGGAGGTGTATCGGCTGACGAGTACCAAGTGGGGAGAAACATTCTTCCTAGGTTCCACTCCTAGCCTTTGACGAAAGTGGAACATATTGAATAATCAAACAGTATTCAGGCATTTACTTAGTAGTCTGTCTACCAACAATTCGGTATCACTCTAGAATGAGTGTTTGCGGCTGACGAGTCTCAAGTAGGCAGAAACACACTTCATAAATTCCACTACTGATCACTAATTAAACTAGTCTAGTATATGATAAAGTTGTTGCTCTATAGTGGTTAAATGAGAACAAATTTAATTAAATATTCAGTGTAACTTACTATGAAGCTTTAAAGTGATCATAGATGAACTTGTACCGATTATATTTGTCATGGAACATTCATAGTTTCCTTCATCACTCTCCGACAAGTTATTTACCCTTAATGTACTAATTAATCCAAATGAATACTCCTTAGTATTGATTGAATATTTGAAGTTTGAGTTAGGCATATTAAAAGTGGAGATTTGTGAATACCATTTGGATGAATTAAGAACTATTGGTTTATTATGATTACTCCATTTTTCATTGGTAATATATTTCCCATTATATGACCATATTGAATAAATAAAATTTGGTTTTGGAAAACTGATTATATAACATACAAGATTTATTGATTTGCCTAGTAATCCATAAACTTTTAGACGAGTGTATAGAAATGGTTTATCTGTAGACAAAAACACATAGATAAATGAACATTTAATAAAAAACTGGTTAGATGAATTATGAACTATACCACATTCAATTTACTTTATATGGAATAGAATAATAAGTGGGAGATACAAAGATTTCTATGGCTATTACAATCAGTAGTATAGAGAAGAAACTTTGATTGACTACTGATAAATTTCTAGAGGTCATTTTCCAATCTAGCCCAAAAGACTAACTGACTCAACCTTATAATACATTTTGCTAGATGTTAATTGAAAGGAACCTCTGTTTGACGTAGGTATTCCAGTTTGTTTGCATTTTTCAACGGGGAAACAGTATCACTATCACAAATCATTAATCAATATTCAGTTGCCTATCTATCTGTCTATCTTGAAGGAGTTGTGGGAAGTTGGAAATATTTCAAGTTGTTATTCATCGTAAACTGACATCAGTTGAAGGAATAGTGAAAACCTGGGAGCACTGGATAGCTGTTTTGTCCTAGTATGGGACTCCTCAACAGTGTGCACCCACGCATGTTACCATTGAGCCACTGGGTCAGAATCCAATGCTCCATATTTCCAACTTCTGTTACCTCACGATATAGCGCAACCGCCACCAATATCAACGTTGAGTGACTGTCCTCATGACCATCAGGCTTTGCGCCCACCGGTCACCACTTCTCATTGGAACTTCGGGAATATCTCTGTTGAGGAGTCCCATACTAGGACTAAACAGCTGTCCAGTGTTCCCAAGTTTCCTTAGTTCTTCTAACTGATGTCAGTCTACGATGAACAACAACTTGAAATACCTATCTATCTATCTGTCTGTCTATTTGTCTGTCTATCTATCTATGTGTTGCAGTAATTATCGTAATTCTGTAGACTAATGATGACGTAGTTGACCATCAGCCTAATCCCATCTCTAGCACAACTCTCCACTCCTGTTTTCCAAACTATGTGAATTTACCGACACATATATCATCTGTGAAAATGTACAGAATTCTTTTCCATAACAACGTAAAAAACGTTTCTTCAAATTATTAATTAAGTTACACTGAATTTTTTTAACTTATAGATTTTGGGAGATTGATACATTCAGCTAATGAGGACATCAGAAATACGACATGTTGTAGAGCCTACTGCCAGTATTATCGCTCAATAATATATTAGAACTTGGAGACACTTGATCAGAGTTCTATATGTCAGTGGTGGTGAATGATCGATTTAGTCGATTAAGCAATGGGGAACTGCAATCTACACCCCTGTTATAGTAGAAGCGACTATTTTGACTCAATAGGTTAGTGGTTAATGCCTATGAATTTCAAGATTTAAGGGAGGCAAGTACATCCAGGTGAAAAAAGTAAGCGTGTGTACTCGATTCTCCTGCTAGTCACTATTTGTCATTACCATCAATACATTAGTCAAAGAACTGAAGTTGGTGTTATGTGCTAATTGGTAACATTGACATAAATATCTGTCTAACGATATCTGAAGTAAAAAGACTAAGGGGGATAACTCACGGCAGTCAACAAACATGTCATGTCGTGTACACTACTAATGAGGGTTTATTTAAGTAGTATATAACACAGTATTTTTGGATTGACGAATATTATGAACAGAGAAATTTGATACAATTGAAGATGGTAAATACATGGAATAGATACTCCTCATTTTCAGTCTGTGTTATTTTAATGAGGATATAGAAAGTGTAAAATTTCATATCTTCGTTACACATTTTTCTGTTATAGTCTAAACTGTAGCGTAACATGAAATAAAACAATAAATTCCTAGACTTTTCATTCCCAAATTCAAATGGACAGAATCAAGAATACTTGGATTGAAAACAGATATAACTTTGTGTTGATCAATGGAAAGGAGGTGATTATGTCGCATGTAAGGTAAATCAATAGGAAGCTGTCAACCTAACTTTTATGCTTGCGATAAATGCGGTTCATCGGTCTAATTAATTGACTTCCAACCAATGGGTTAGGGGTTCGAGTCCCGTTCTCCTTACCAAAGTTTACTGAGAACATCAGTAGAAAGGAGTTGACAACCTGCATTTATGTTACCCTATAAGGAAGGTACATGAGAAACTTTACGTGGGATCCTAAACAAGGCTGGAGTTCGAGTGGAATTCAAACCTACAAACTCACTCAGACATAAGCTTTATCGGTTGGTTTAAGGATCTGATAGAACGAATTCAACAAAGTAATGTAATCTATAAAATTCCATATAATGACTGTGACTGAAGTCAAGTACATAGGTGAAACTAGGCGGTAATCTAGAACAAACACTCGTCTATTGTAATGTATGCATTAACATACAATCACACAACTGGGTGGGTGGGATGAAACCACTATACTAATGTTATATATTACTAGGTTGATAGAAGGAGACTGATTACTGAATCTTTGTTCATCGAATCAACAGTCAACACCTAAGACATGTGGAATAGGAATGATACAATACTCGTATGAGAGACATGGAAAATTGTACTGGCAGTAAAAGCAAAGAATGAGGGAGTTGATAGGACTATAAGAATCACATGTGGAAAGTGTTGTGTGATGATTACACATTGATATGTGATAATGATTTATGCTGTAAACGTGGTCATCCAGTGAATAATCCTGTGTCACAATATGTGTACTGACTATATCAAATAAATAAATCTAATATTGGTAATTAAATCCGACCACAGTGGCCAAGTTCAACACAAATAAGTTGTGAATCGAACAGGAGTGAGTAGGCCGTATTACAAACATAGGGTGTTGGGGTGGGTGAAGCCGAACAAAAACATAGGCAGCTACTACATACTGCAGAAGAAGAACAACAACAAAAACAACAACCATAAATCGACGTAGAATTTCATATTAACATCCTATGTGATTTCCACTGGGTATTTCAAATCATAAAGGATGCAAACATTTTTCACAGATCTTAGATAATAAAAAGTCACTTGGTTTGGTTTCAAGGTAGTATTCAACATGAGTCCTCAGATTGATTTACTACTCTATAGTTTTATAGTCAGAAATCATTAATCTTGGTATGAGGACAAACGCTCTGTGATGGCATTGGATGATGATTGCACTATATCACTAACTGACAGAATTAGGAAAATCCAGACCACTGGACACCCAGTCAGTGGTCTAATGGTAACATGCTGGCCACGGAGCCTGGAGGCCCTTGGTCCGGCCCCCAGCAAGTTAGTGGGTAGGCGCTGGCTAGTAGTCCCTTACCAGGTTGAAACAACTGTCCAGTTCTCTTAGGTTTATGATAGTTTTTCAACTGATGATAGTCCATGAAGAATACTATCTTGGAAAGTCTAGTGGTTCAGGTGTCACATTCATTTGGGGGGAAGTACCTACAAGAGACACTAAACTTAGTGGTACGAAAAATCTCTAGTCACCTCTAATGCATACAAAACACAATACCCTCATATCGAATTCATCTCACATAATACAACAGGATACAAGTTTAGTCCAATCCGGACGCCAGGGTGATCATGAAGTGCATGCGGTTCGCCAGAAATTGAATTCTTCTGCATCCTTTTCTGGCCCAAAGACCCCTGGTTCTTCGTCTCCTGTTCGTCATCCCGGCAGTTCATACAATACCAGAAGAAACACGAAGAAGACCCCGCCGTCCCCCTGCTGGCATTGTGGAGCATGGCATTTCGTTAAATCTTGTCCTTATAAGCAGAATAAATGCAGAGATTGTAATACTGTAAGTCACAAGGACGGATTTCTCAAGCAGCTGCCACTGCAAGCAACAGGCAGGTCATCATCCAGTCACCATCGAAGATCGAAGTCTTGACCAGTGGGCAAATCTCTTAGTCTTACTGCTGCTTTTCAAGCACATGCACCAGAAAGGAGAAAATATATCACCGTCCAGATAAACAACCATTCAGTACGCCTACAAACCGACACAGCTTCCGATATAACGATTATTTAAAGAAGCTATGGTGGAAGATTGGTCGACCTCCTGTCCAGAAGACGGTACAAACTGCTACTAGCGTATGCGGTGGCCGATTATCACTAACAGGTCAGTTATCTTGTACTATATCTTTTCAAAATATTTGGATAAATGGAATTTATTATCTATTTGACGCAGACGTAAACCTTCTGGGTCTCGACTGGTTCGAGAGTTTGAAACTAGCCGACCTTCCACTGAATATGGTGTGCAACAAAGTGGAAGCACCGTCAGACCTCACGAGGAGCCTTAATGGTACTATATTCTCGGAGTAATACACTCTCCCATCTACCAGCTTCGGTCTTCTCTCTATTCGTCCCGGCGTTGCAGTCAGTAACTCTTGCGTACCAAGTTAGCTGTCAGCTAAACGCGAGTATTATATTCGTTTCGGAATATATATAACCATTAGCCTTCGAAACCATAACACGTAAAACCATTAACTAGTTATGAGATGATGAGTTAATAATATGCACATATCCTCTATTGTGTGTGTGTATATGGGGATTATCATTACTCATGGGACTATACATTCATTTGGTATGTAGGTCAAACTGGAAATTCACTGAGAGGTAAATAAATAAGCTAGGCTGTATTTACCTCCCATCTTCCATAATTTTGTTTATTTTATGACCTTTAGTTTCTCACTTACCGAGTCACCCACTCACGCATCCACATATATAAACATAGAGAGACAGGCAGATATGAGGTCAGTTGTCGAGTGGAACACTATATATTTATTGTAATACTCAATATATTCATCATCTCAAATGATTTACCCTCAGTATGTTTATTTACCAGCCATAAAGAAATAATAAAATACACACAAACAAATGTAACTATCTTCAGTAACTTAATTACTCAATCTCATGTGCCGTGACCTCTATCTACGAAGGCTTTCTGTTTAAATGTGATTCTAGTGAATATGAGAGATTTTCAATAGTTTACCTTAAAGTATGGTCGCAGTATAAGATGTGGTGATTATTATTATGTTCTTCGAGATTTTTGTCAATATACATACGATGTGATAGGTCTGGTGTTAAGAAGTGGAAAA